AAAAAACGTTTCAAGGCTTCAAAGAACAACAACTTTGTTGATTTCAAAACTAATATTGAGCAATCCATCAGAAACGTAACATTTTTCAAATTTCGAGTTTGATAGTTTTAGAAAATTTTCCATGTTCTGAAAACTTACAAACAATAGCTAATGATCTAAAATTTCCAAAAAGTAAACGTGCCATTGGTTCATTATTTTTTCTGCTGAATTCCAGAATGTTTATTTATGAACGAACGGATGTATACATCTGAGGAAGATTTCGAATTAAAATAAACATCTCATCCGACGTTTCCGGATTTCAAATGTTCTACGTGCCGCACACTTTTGATAGAACCAATGGCATGATGAACTTTGAAGAGGGAGATTGCCACTTCATATGGCACATGACATCACAAAAAGGTTTTCATCAATTCCCTCCATGTCCAAAAAATACGGGCAAAGGCAGAGCTCGAACCTATTCGAAATCCGCGGGGGCAGCTACGTAAACAATCGAATCGAAAAGAGAAAAAAGGACTGTCGGGAATACGCGAAACCGAAATATTCTCACACATTTTTGGTCGAAAATCCCTCGCTTTTCCTATTTATTTGCTTCCTTTTTTCCATTCTTTTTGACAGGTCAAGGTGCATTTCACACGCTTCCGAAATATGGAAGAAATGTCTGGAGAAGAAGAGGAGTGATATCACTGAGGAATTTGCAGAGGAATCTTTGGTTTCTTTACGCAGCACTGACTAGACCGAAACGTTGGGGTTGGAAAAATAAATATAGAGTGTGATTAGGTTTTCGATTTTGATTGTTTATAAAAGTCTGGAAAAAAGTCTGGAAAAAACAGGAAGAAACTAAAGATGATAACAATGGAGAAGCTAAAAATTATGATGTAGGCCGCACATTTTGGGAGAATCTATAATTTGTGTATTTTTACAACAATTTAGAATTATCAGAAAAGCTGATGAAATATTTCTAACTGGAGATCTCGGGCAGTTTCAGTACATGTTTTGACTTTAACAAGACTTCCATAAAGACTAAATACCGTATCACTGTGATAGAGGGCCACCCGATCCGCCAACGTTGAGCTAATATATGTCGATTTTTGTAAAATATATCACAAAGTGTTAACGAAGTTTATCATAATATTTAAAATACTTTATCAGTTGATTACTTTTTGATACCTTTGACAGGAACTGAGATATATGGCCTCAAAGTTGGCAGATCTGGTGGCCTTTTAGTATAGTGATTACGGTAACATTAAATTTTTGTCTTCCAAAACTGGCTCCTGCTCAATGATATTCACTAGAATAGACACTAATACAATCAGAAACTGAAATTAATCATTTTTCAGCTGATAACACAATTCCCGCCTTACCGCAGTGATGCGTCGTCGGACAAGACAGACATGAAGACGTGTTTTAAATGCACACAAACTTTGATATGACTAAAAATCTCCAGAGACAACCTATACAGACTCATGTCTGGGAAAAATTGTCTAGATCTTTTTATTTTTACAATGCTGAAAATACCGCAACAAATTTATAAATATTTGCTTCTCCATCTAGATTTCTTTTGATCTCGAAGGTTGCCAGGAGGCAATTGAAAAGCAAAAAAAAAACTATTTCGATGAGTAAAAAACAACAAGAGAAGTGTTTTTTTTGTTTGTCTACTCATCTCTCATTTTGTTTGTAAATCTCTGCAGAGACAATATACATATTTTTGAACGGAAAGTGAAATTGGAGTAGAGAATGTGAAAAAAATGTAAAAAACAGAGAGGAGCTCTCAGGATAATGAAAAAAAAAGAAATCTTGCGCTTACAGTCGTAAAATTAGGATTCAAACACATGTGGGTTAGGTTAGGCTTTTAAATAAAAAGCCGCGGCCGGCCGTGGCCCGCGGTCAGCTGTTCTCCAGAGAGAAATATGTAAAAACTAGAACAATTTGTTCATTAAAAAAAAAACTGGATTCCTCATTCAAGGAGTTTGGTCAGCTGGACGACCTAGAAAATTAAAAAAAAAAAAACTAAACCAGTCCATCGATCTGAATATTCTAAGAGCTGAACCTTTAATGTACCAAGTTTTGGAACGTTTAAGAACAAATTTTCTCATGGTTATTCGGTTACAATGGATCATGAAACAAAACATTTCAAATATTAAAAGTGCACAAAAAACCAATGAAAATAAAAAGAATAGGTGGGCATTTTCCCTTTCCGTCTTCGATTATTTTTAGTAGGTCAAATCATAAAAATAAATAAAAAACGAGGGGCAAGGAGTGGGAGAGTTTTTGGGACAATGCGCGTGATGATGCGAAACCGGAAAACAATGAAGAGCCCCCCGGTCGATCGGCTGTGTTCTTCTCGCCTTGGCGATGGACAGTTTTGAAAAACGGGAAAAGACTTGAGAAGAGAGGATCGTTGCCAAATACGGAAAAGGGATGGAAGGAAATGATTGGGATAAGGGAAAAGAATAAGAAAAGATTCAGAACTCATTGGGGACCAATTTGTATTCCATAGTTTGAAGGAAGAAAGGCTTTTTTAGGAACAAAGTGTTGAAAAGGAAAAAAATTGATAGATTAGTTGAGAAACTTTTTTGTAAAGAAACACCCAGAAATTTATCCAGAAAAAACAGACAGGGTAAAATGTAAAAATGTTTTCCGAAACTTCCCAAAATATAGAACAGGATTGCTTGTGATTGTCCTTTTCGGACAGTTGACCAGTCTGACGATTATGCAAATTTGAAAACTGGAAATTTTGTGAATTATAGCTCGAACGACGGATGGTTTATGCCCAAACATTCGGTTGAAAAGTTACACGAAATTATGTTTCTCCTGTATACTAAAGTTAGTAATAGCATAAAATTTGAGAAAAGTGTTGTACTTGGCTAAAATTTAGACCGCACAAATTCAAGTAATTCATCAGTAAATTGACCAAGTTTCAAATCATTTGATCAACTTTGAGCTGAGTTATCGTTGGTAAAAGTTGCTTAATCTCAGGAAAATTAAAAAGAAACATTACGCCATTTATCTTCGGACAATCATAACTGTACCCAGACTTGAATAATCACTTTGAAAATTTTAGTAACTTTGAATCAAACGTAAAACTATATTTCTATCAATTTCTTGCTTCCAAGATACTTATTTCTAACAAGGATTTACCCGTTTTTATAGGTCCGGGTAATTATGCGCCACCCTCTGAAAGACTGATCAGACATGAGCTTTTCCAAAACTATCGGACTTCTACCACAAGTTCGCCTACACTTTTTCTAGAAGTTATGTTATCTCCTGAAATTCTCTCACCCCCTGATAGTGAGTTCTAGAAATATAACAGCGATCAGACAAAAAACAACGCGTGGGCAAACAGCTCCACGGACTAGTCGTTAGTATCTTTTCTCGGCCACCAGAAACAATTCGTCATTGTTTAGATACTAGATTAATGTAGGAACATAGGAACGTCTGTTTGGTAAAAGAAGAGATTTGGAAGGAAGTTGGCCATTCTTGAAAACTTTCAAGAAGTTCAAACCACTAGAATTCGAATCAATAAGCTCTGGGAAAATATTTCTCATGGTTGTTTAGTCATCGATACGATTGAAACGAAAATATTGGAAGGAAAGGTTTTTTGGGAAAAGAGTGTAGGAGGAAGACTAAACCAAAAAAGAAGAAGAAGAAGGAAGAATATCTGTAAGTGACGTGGATACCGAACAACGTGACAAAGTAGCAAGGAAGAAGAAGAAGAAGAAGAAGCTGTATCTACATGGTTGTCTTCTTGAAACCAGACCTCTTTTCCTTATAATTTCCCTCCAACTTTTTCTGGTCAAAGAATATGCAAAACCCTCTCGGATTCAATGACGTCGAAATCTCAAATTCGATTCAGAATTTTTCGGATTGTTTGTCGAAACAATCTAGGTCTCTGCGAATTGTGCTCTCTATGAACGACTCACAGAAGAAGAACAAGACAAAAAATGAAATGAGAGGAAAGAATGGAAACTGGAGAAGAAGACGTCAAAGAGAAGGGAGTAGAGGTGGTGAAAAAGTGCGTACTTTGTGGACAAATAATGAATCCAAGGTTCAAAAATTCATATTCTTATTTTTGCTCCTTTGGGGACTCTCCGGATGGAAGCGTATGTTTATCTGGACTACTAATTTTCACCCACCTCTTCTGGAGACTTTTGTTTTGTAAAATGGTAGATCACAAAAAAAGAAATGCAGAGCAAATTTTGGAATTTTTAAATTATTTAAAATCATTTATTCCATACCACTTATCCGATTAATTCAATCAAGAATCTACAAAGTTTTCTGCTCAAAATTAACAAAAAAAAAGTCAGAAGATATTTCCCGGATGATGAGAAATTCCCACACAAGGTCAGATGCATTTTATTCAATTCATCTCAAAAAAGATTCGGAATAAAAATTTGAAAAGAAAGCAAAGAAGAACAAGTGAATGAGTTTGAACCGATTCTCCTCTCTTCGTTTCTGTTTGTACTTCATTTGTCGATGAATCGTTAATCCAGACTGTCAACATAACCAAACGGCTCTTTTTCGCTCTCTTTTTCTTCTTCTTCTTAATCTCCAGAAACAACTGTAACAATGAGAAGAAAAAGGAGAAGAAGGAGAGATGAAATGGAACAAAATTTCAAATTGAAGATCAGATACAAAATCAAAAGAGATGGGGGTTTGATTGGACATCAGTATCATTTTAAACTTTTTTGTTTGGTCTGAATCAAGGCTGTCCCACGGCCGGCCGCAATATTTTGAATAGGGTACTTCTAGGATAGGTCGCTGAGAAACTATAGGTCGCTGAGCGTATTTCGAAAGGACGGACAGATTAGTCCACGGCCACCTACGCATGACCGGCCGGAGGAAAGTGGTGTCGAAAATTTCTGATAAATTATTTGTATATTCTCGATTTCCAGAAGTATTTTTGAAATTATTTATTTACATTAATGATAAAAATCAGTGAGAACTTTAAGTCAAAAATTAGTTTTGAAAAATGAGATAGTTAGTTAAAAGATTCAAGAATTCTATTTTTTCGGGTTCTCCTCCATCAGCTTCTCGATATTGATGAGAGTGGCGTTGACGACGTCGGATGCCTAAACGTATAAGTTTTTGTGAAAAATGTTTAGTGGAGAATTTTGTAGAATCCCAAAAACTCACTGAGTTGCTTCCTCCAATATCCTTAGTATGAATTTTCTGCTCAACGAGAGCTTTCCATAGAGCATCGGAGATGATATTGGCATGATAGTGGCATCCCAAATACCTAAGCATATCAACACTAGCTCTGATGAAAGCAGTTGGATTGGCAATGTCCTTTCCAGCAAGAGAAGTTCCAGTGTTACGAGTTCCAGTCTCGAATACAGCATACTTGTCTCCCAAATTCATTCCAGATACCAATCCAGGTCCTCCAACCAATCCACAGGCAATGTTGGAAATGATGTTTCCGTAGAGATTCGGCATGACCATCACATCGAATTGCTGAGGTTTCGATACGAGTTGCATCGAGGCATTATCCACAATCATGGCTTCGAATTTGATGTCTTTGTACTCTTCGGACATATCACGGACAACCTACAAATGCCAAAGTTATTTAAAAATTATCTGACTAGGCTAACCTTCAAGAAAAGGCCATCTCCAAGCTTTTGAATATTAGCCTTGTGGACTGCTGTCACCTTCTTTCTTCCATTTGCTTTTGCGTATTCGAACGCCATTCTCGAGATTCTTTCAATCTTTTCTCGGGTTACAATCTAGAGAATAAAGTATATGAAGCATACTTGTAACGGGCCGGGCCGGGCTTTTTCCGGAATTTCGGAGGCCCGGCGGGCCTGTCATTTCACTAGTTTCGAAATTTTCAAAGAACACATAAGGGGGGACCCTTATGTGATTTTTTTCGACCAAAAAAATTTTTTTCGAGTTTTTCGATCTTTTTTGATCAGACAGACAAACAATCAGAAATACGAAAAAAAATGGAAAAAAAATTATATTGAGAGCTCAAAATTTGGCTCAAAAATACAGAATTTTTGACACCGGGCCTTCCGGGCCGAGCCCGGGCCTTGCAAATTTCCTCAGGCCCGGCCCAACCCGGCCCGGTCCCGGGCTTTGGCGGGCCGGCCCGGAATTTTACAAGTATGATATGAAGTGTTTTAAAATTATTATTATTACCTTGATACTCTCCACGATTCCTGGAACTGTCTCGTGTTCTAATCCAGAATACTCTCCTTCGGTGTTTTCGCGAATGAGAACAATGTCGATTCCCTAAAACATTGGGCTCTAATCGGTTATTTTAGTTCTTGCAAGATTAGATTTTTGGCTCTTCGAAAATTCTAGAAATATCTGAAAATTCCAAAAAAATCAGATTTTTTCAAAAGTTCAAAAACTTCAACGAATTTACTAAATTCATATTTTCCAAAAATAAAATATCAGATATTTTAGATATTACAATTAGATATTTCAAAAAAAAAATATTTAGAAAATTAATATATTCAGAATTTTAAAATATTCAGAAATTTCGAAATTTCGCAAAAATGACAATACTTGGAATGGAATATCTAGATGAAAAAAATCCTTGAGAAAGCTTTTTTTCCAAAGTTTCGGATATTTTTTCTTTGAGAAACCTAAATCGATCACATACAAGATTTGAACCTATTTCTATAGATTTCAGTTGATTTCAAGCAATATTCAAGAAGTTAGGAATTGTCAAAATTCTTACAACAATCACATTTTGGAGGTTTTTTGAGCCCAAAGACGAAATTGGGCTGTCAATTTTTGTCAGAATGCTACTTTTATCGTTTCTGAATAATTCGAACATTTTTTGGAACTTTTCTAAAAATTTTCAAATAAAATTTTGAAAATGTTCAAAAACTATTTTAGATGATAGAGAAATGTTCAAAAGTGAGTTTCGCACTCAAGAATCATGAAAAACGAGTTTTAAACCTCGAAAAATGTATGTTTTTGGTTAAAATTTAGCACTGAAAACACTTTCAGAGGCCATATTTCGACTGCTTTTGAGAACGGGCTAAAAATGTTTACGAATTATGATTCAGCATGTTCGAAAGTACCTTTGTACAAATTTTGAGCAAATTCTCAACCGGTATCTTAGAAACGTTCTTGTGAATTTAATAAACATTTTGAATTTTTGAATTTATCAGATCTTTCGGAATTTTTGATATTTCTTGAATTTTCAAAGGTCCAAAAAATGCAAGGACCAAAATAACCGACTAGAGCTAAACAATACATATGAAAATAACCTACAGTATCCCCCAAGAAGATCACTTTTGACATTCATATTTAGTGGTTAATAAACAACATGCTCTAAAATAGTTTAAACTGAAAAATATAAAGACTTCTAAATTTTTGCAAACTCTATCTTGAAAATGCTTTTCAACCCAACCTACTATTTTTCTCTTATAATTTCTGTCGACAGCTGTCATAAAAACGACACCATACAAGCTGTTGGAGATGCAAAACTTACAGCATGTCGGGATGGAACAGTTGGGATAGTGACACAGTGGAGAATATTGGCATATAAGTCCAATTTGGTTCTGAGTTCAACATTGCGAGAATGGAATTGTGGATCGTCATGTTTTGTTTCGATGTTTCCCTGTCAAAATTATACATGAGGTCTTTTTACAAACCAAGATAACACATTTTATCAGTCTCTAGCTTGCTAGTACCTTAATGGCAACTCCGTTTCGCTCAATTGCCAAAAGAGCAGCATCCATATCTCCATCCAAAAGAGAAGATGAAACTTGAACTTCTTCGAAATTGATTGGGGCCTATAAAATCTTCTACTTTTTATGAGCTCGATATATCTATGCAACTAACATGGCAGAAGGAGAAAATGTTCTTGATGTGAGCAATCATTTCGGGGCCAATTCCATCTCCTGGCAGGGCACATACAGTATGACGACCACCATATTTGGCAAGTGGAAGCTATAAAAAAGAAAGGTCACAAATCGGAAAAGGAGAGGATCTTACTCTATGGCCAGGAATCTGATGAGTACGAATCGCAGAAGCGGTTCCACGAATCGCCTGGAATGGAAGTTTTGAGAACATTCTGAAATCAGAAATTTATGATTTTTCAACAAATCTAAAATCGATGAGAGCGATGAGAGATATATCTTCAACTCTCGAAATATTTTCCAATGGTCCCGCAGGAGAAAAAAAGACGGGCGCCTTGTTCTTCTTCTCTCTGAATCTCTGAATCGCTCTTGGCTCCCTCACGTGGTAAACAACTCAGTTGGCACACAGAGCACAACATTTGTTCCGTTTATCAGGAAAAAATTGAAAACGAGAAAGTGAAAGTAGAGAGGAGGTCGGAAACTTAGTGGAGGTGCAAGAACACCTTGACGTCAGTGTTTGCATGGTATGACGAGTTTCGCTATATAATTAACTTGTCGTATCAATAAGGAGAAAGAATAGAAACAGTGAAAGATTTCGATGAATTTTAAGACCCGTTCAAAGTAGTGTGTGGCAATCTGAGTAGTCGAAGGACTGATATTCAAGGAATAATGAATGAGATGATAGCTCTGGTGATATAAGGGGTACAAGGAATTTATCTCTTACTATTAGAAGTTTTTTTAAAGAAAAGGAAAAAAATGGAAGATGTTAGAAAGTTAGAGAAACCTACCATAAACCAGTAATAGAAGGGCCCTCACAGTGTCAAGTTTGAGCTCAATTATATCGGTTTCTGTTCAAGATATCAAAAGTGTGTCAACTGACAAAACACTTCTGATATTATGATAAAAAAGTTACCAGTTGACAACATTTTCTTATCTTTGACATGGACCGAGAAAAAGTGGCTCAAATTTCAAGGTAAGAGGTACCTTCAGGTTTTACGGTATTTTAAAAACAGCAGGTAAAAATATTTTACTCAAGACAAAATCTCTGAAATTCAATTCTCATAACTTCTCAAAAAACCATTTTTCATGCATTTCCTTCACGTGTTCCTTGTTTGATTCACTGATGTTTTAGGTTTTCATGTATTTCCTTTACGTGTTCTCTTCCCTTTTTTGATTCACAGATGCTTCACTGGCTTTCCGTAACCTCCGTGAAGTCCTATTTTTTTCCCAGCAGGTGCCCCCATTTGGAAGGCGTCAAGGACAACTTCGAGGGCAGTTTCCAGAATTGGCAGAGTTTGAATCAAGATGACAGCGAAAGGTAAAGGGAAAAATAATGTTTAGTTTCTAACGTTAAAATTTCAGGAGCTGATTGGTGTTCGGGATGGACGTTCGTGGACAAAGCAATTGCCGAGCCTTCCAGGATCAGTTCCAGAGGGTCGCTTCCAGAGGATCAGTTCAAGGAGGATATTCTTATCTCAGATGCAATGGAACGGAATAGATTGAAAGGTGAGGAAATTTTGAAAGTTGAGAAATGGGGAGGCTCTGGGGATTAAAATTCGGGTACCCTCTTTTTTTCCGACTTTCCAAAAATCTCGGTAAAACTTTTTCACGATCAAAATTCAGAAGTTTCCTGACTTCGAGAACAAGCGGCTCCCAAGCCTTCCAGGATCAGTAGATGTCGAGCACAGATGTTAGGGATTGACGGAATGGATTGAAAGGTGACTGAATTTTGAAAGTTTAGAGATTGGGAGGCTCTCGGGATTGAGAAAATCGGGCACCTCTGAAAACATGAAATTCTGAAATTCTGAAATTTTGATATTCTGAGATTCTGAAAATCTAATATCCTGAAAATCTGAGATTCTGAAATTCTGAGTTTCTGATATTCTCACATTCTAGAAAACCATCTCGTTATCTTCAAAAGATGAAATTCTTTATTTGAAAGTAAACATCAATTTAGGGCTCCCATCGTCAACTCCGGCGACAACTACACAAATTCTGTAATTTTTGTAAAAATCCCTGCTCAGGTAACAAAAATAGAAGTTTGCGAAAAACCATGAAAATTTTTTCAGTGAAATGTCAAGGATCGAGTAGTTCGGAAATGTCTTCACTGCTTGATACTGGATGTCTGCTGTCTGGAAGTTTGTCTGATATGCTGTATGTCTACTTCACTGGATAGAGAACTTCGTGAACTTGATTGCTTTTTGCTTTTTTCCTTTTTTCTGCCCGTTGTGCCTAGTCCGCTGTCAGGTCATTTTTGGCTGTACGTGTCCGTCGAAATTTTTTCTCGTCCGCTGTCGGCTGTTCGTTGTCTGTTGAAACTTGTTGTCCGTCCGTTTATCAGAAAAATTTGAATTGAAAATTTCCGCCTGGGAAAGCAGTTGGAACGGTGAGCTTCTTATTTAAAAATTTTGTCCGTAGTCGGTTGTCCTGCCATTTTTGGTTGTCTGTTGTCCGTCGAGAAATTTTCGTTTGTGCGTTGTCCTGTGTCCGTTGTCCAAACAAAAATTTCGCTGTCCGTACATCTCTGGTTGTCAGGTGTCGGTGCCCTCTTTGCAACATTGACGTCCCCGTTGTCTTCTGTTCTCTTAATGCTTTTTAATTTTGATGTCGTCTTTTTCTTCTGGTAGTCTTGCGGTGTCTTCTGATGGTGCAGTTAGTCTTCTAAGGAGTTTTCTAAATTAGGCTTAAAATCTGAACAAAAAAAGATTGTGTATAATATAAAAACGAATTTATGAAATCTGGTGTCAAGATTCTGATATGACATCAGTCTTGGATACGATATTTTTCTTTGTTTTCTTTACAAAAATCATAATTTACTATGCTATTCTTGAAAAAGTGCATACTGTCAGCACTTGTCTGCGATTATGCCCTATATGCCCATAGGCTCCGCCCCTTTTCCCACAGAATACATAGTGACGCGCGGAACCCGGAAGATGTCGGCTGCTGTTTAGGGGGTCCCTATATAAACAGGCGACCTATATAAGAATTCGTTCTTCCGAGAACATATACTAAAATTGGAACAATACAGAGAAGATTAGCATGGCCCCTGCGCAAGGATGACACGCAAATTCGTGAAGCGTTCCAAATTTTTTGAGTAATTTTATGTGATGATCTAATTGGAGAAGTTATGATTTTGAAATTCTCGCTCTTCGACATGAAAGTATCATGTTCAGCGTAAATCTTAACCGGAAAATGTACATTTGAACATAAATAATCTAAGTTTATGAGTATGGTTAAAAATTATCGTATAAAAATGAGTGAAAATCGGGTTCTGAAACTCTGATCATGCATGATCGAACGTTCACCGGCCGCATCCCCCAAGATTTGATTTAACAGTCATCACTTCTATGGAAGACTGAAAATTGCAGTTCTCTTAATCTCAGTTGTGTCTAAATCAATTGAAAACTCCCAAGCGAAAGAAGGAAACATGAAAGGTATCACTTTGAAATATCCCTGCACGATTTTAGGTCGTTAAATTTGAAATTGACTACTAGTCATCTCTATAATTTTCTCCCCAATTCTCATAGTTTTCCCATTAGTTTAGGCCAAGTTTTTTGATTAGGGTTTCCATTGGGGGGGGGGGGGGGGCGATTCACCCGCCCGCACCCGCCTCACTCCCCGCGGCCCCCCGTTGGCCCCCCGCAATTATTTACGTGAAGAAAATTTTATCTTTTTCGCTATTTTTTGATTTCGGAAACTCTTTTTTTCTTGGAAAATACGTGATTGTCATTAAAAATTCACACGCAAATAATCGCGAGGGGCCGCGGGGGGCCGTGGGTGGTAGCCCCCCGGCGGGTGGCGGGTGGCTCTTTTTTACACCCGCCCAAATGGAAACCCTAATTTTGATTTGAAATTTTTTGCGATTTTCTTTTTTTTTATCTGCATTTTTGCCGTTTTACTGAACTCCCCAAACGTGAGAAAGCGGCACACACTTAACCGCCATCCCACCCTCCACAGAAAAGTAGCCAACGTTGGCGTCGTGGTGTAGGGGATGTGGTGTGCGCCACTGTGCGCGAGGTCCCGTTTTCGATCCATCCTGTGGCGTTTCACTTTTTTATTTTTTTTTAGTTGCATTTTTGATAGTTTGAAGGTTGGGGACATGAAAAATAGGTTCCTTGAAATTTTATTCACCCTAAGATGTCCTAGAATCTCTAAAAATCCCGGAATTGAAACTTTTTAAAAAATCAGCAAAATTTTTATTAATTTTTTTGCAGTTCTCAAACTTCTATTTCTTGGATCATTGTGTCGGTTGAGTGCTTCTTCGTCCACGCCATCAAATGCGACGTCTGAAGGTACAGTACCCCATGAAAAGATATTATGCCATAAAACGTCACACTGTCACGTCTGAGCCTAATTATCTCGGTTCCAATATAAGATATCAAAAATTTGTCAACTGTTAAAGTATAGAAAATTTTATGATAAACACTTTATTATTTGGCAACGTTTTGCTATCTTTCACAGAAACCGAGATAATGAAGCTCAAAGAGAGAGATGACGGCTGAGCTACGCGGCTGCAGCCGGCACACTTTGAACTTGTTTATCTCGATACCTATGAGAGATATCAAAATCATGTCAACTAATAACATGTTTCTGATATTATGATAAACATTTCGTTAGTTGACAACTTTTTGATATCTATTGTGGGAAGTGAGATACATTGGCTCAAAGAGTAAAGTGGTGGCGTAGCAAGCCAGTAGGGGAAGGTGACGCGCCACTGTCGGCCGAGCAAGGCGGTTGCAGGCGCACTTTGAACTCATTTATCTCTGTTCCCATAAAAGATACCAAAATACTGCCAACTGATAAAGTGTTTATCATAACATCAACAATATTTTTGTAGTTGACTACTTTTTAGAATCTCTTATAGGAACCGAGATAATTAAGCTCAAATTTTGGGACCCTTCTATTACAGCCTCAGACTTTTTGAAGTTCCATAAACAAAGTTTCACATTTTAAATCAAACTGAAATTTTTCAGATTCCGTTTTCCTGCGAATCGACACATCTCTCGATGCTCATTCCCGTCTAGAAGCTGCTCTGAACACTCTCGCTGAGCTCATAAATCCAACGAAACCGAATTCGGAACTTGGAAAATATTTCCTTCTCGACGATTCGATTATCTCAGAATTGACAAATGTGGATGGAACGCATGCAGATAGAATTGTCAAAGAATTGACAGATCTGAAATATAATCTAACGGCATTCAATGAGAAAAGCAAGCAATTTAAGATGTTTGAGAAGCTACACCAGTTAATCAATACTACCGTAATCCCTGGGAAATCGGAGAAGGACGAAGTGGAAGCGATCATTGGAGGCTGGGACAAGTTCGATGTACTGGAGTTCAATCTTTTGAAATTCCACGGGAGCAATCTGAAGAATCTGGAGCACTCGAAAGACGGAGCAATTGCCGAAAGTAGAGTTCGAGGAGCTGCTGCACGGCGATTCCAACAATTCTGGAGGCGATCACGGAGGGAATACCATGGATGGACATCAACGAGTTATGGAGATTTTCGGAGATTTCGAAATTTTGATTTCCAGCCTGAAGGTGTATAAGGAAAACGGTCCAGTCAGTGATGATGATGATGCGGGGAACTTGGGAAAACTCTTTTCAAAACCTCAATCATATCGAACTGGCAGCAGAGTGGCTAGGATGTCGAATTTTGAGGCGTTTGAATCTGATCACTTCCGCTGGATACTCATCTGAAAGCGAGTTTAAATCTTTTTGTGCTCATCTCAACCGCATTTTGATATCTGACATTCCTATTTCTGATGACATGACCCGTTTTCTGGACATTTTCAAAAATCTGACAGGAGCCTTCGATGAGTATACGACACTTTTGACGGACGTGAATACTCTGAAGAAATCTTATAACTATACAGCTGCACGGAATTGCCCGCGGTAACCTCCGGAAAGCGCGCTTTGTCGCACACCTCGAGTTCGAGGACTTGGCACCGTGCCAAATCATCATTTTTTGAATTGAAAATTCCAAATTCCAAGCCGAAGTTCAGCCGCGTCGCGCGGCGCAACGCGCTCAAGAGCACTGAGAAATCAAGTTTGCATGTACCCTGTTGCAACCCCGTGCAGCTGCAATTAATGGAGCCAAAGTGATCAAAACATTGGAAGGAGCAATTGTATATGAAATAAGAAATAAGACAACTGGAGAATATAAAGTGGATAAAGGGAAGTTTGACAAGGTCATGGATGAGGTTATAGCAGTGCGGAAGGAATTTATTGAGGTCCTTGAAAAACTAGAATCGTTCATCAATATCCAAAGGAAAATAGGGAGTTTCTCGAGTTGGAAACTTGATGATGTGGAAAAGTGGCTGAAACACACTTCCGAGCATTTGAGGTATTTGAGAAATGACTTAAAAATATCCGAATCATGTCTTGAATTTTCCAGAGATTCAACGGACCAAACTGTGCTTTCTCGAATGCCCATGTTTTCAAATTTGTTGATTCCCACCCTAAATCATCTCCTGACTTCACCGATTTCGCTCACGTTTGCTCAAAACTCGCTGCTTCCGTGAAAACTGGAACGTCAAAAGTGGAAGGCCTAAAAACAAAGCTGAGCAGTTTGAAAGAGGGTCCATACACAAAATATGTCATGGAATTCAGCGAATACAATGTGACGCAAAAATTCCAGAGTGCATCAATTTTATTCAAATTGTTTGATCGCGTTATCCAGGCCTCGGCAGGATTCGACACGTTTTTCAAGCAAGGAGATTTGATGAATATTGAATTTCAAAATTTGAGATATGACGATCCAAATCGACGTGGCTGGGTGGAAAAAATGAAGGTGGGTAATTGCAAATGGAAGGTGAAACTCCTATGAGAGTTTCCGAATTTCCGAAGTTCCAAAAAAATCAGAAATTTCAAAGTTGAAATTATTTGCAAATACCTGTAAATGGAATTTCAGATTCTCGAATCCGTAAAATCCAAATTCTTCGATATGAAGAATCAAATTCTTAAAGGACGCGAATTCTACACTCCAGTATCCATTGAAAATCTGATGTCACTTCGATGGCTTGTCGAGAATCTGGCTGACATTTCAAATCCCGCACTTCAAATTTCTCAATGGAGCGATTTCGTTCTGGAGATCAAAAATTCCAGCATAAATCTGACAGCCGTCGATGGTTTTGTGGCTTCCTTGAACCCAATTTTCGATTTGAATTTGCTTATGCAAATTATAAAGCACTTTTGAGATTTTTGAAGTCAATTCTGGCCGCTGAAAAAGTGTCGTGAGTAGCCTTTATTGAGGAAAATTTACCTAAAACATTGAATAATTTTCAGACACTTGACATTCTGGGATTACAATAAAAACTGGATCAAAATCGTTGGATTCTGCTTTGTCACCATTTTTATCAATGCTGTAATCTATGCAGTGACACTTATCATTTGGAAAGAAAGGCAAAGAAATCACAAGAATCGGAGGAATTGGAAGAGTTCAACGAAAAGGGGGAGGAGTTTGAGAAGAGAAAAAAAGGACAATTTATGGGAACTTATTGATTTTTTTGTTTTCTTTTTTTTGGGAAATAAAGTTTTGTTTGGTTTTATTGTAATTTTTACCCTCAGAGTTGAAACCATTGCTTTAGAAATTTCAGAAAAAAACAAAAATGTTTTCAATTTTCTATCTGAAAATCATTCGGTTTTTTTAAGTTTTAGGAAGTTTCGGATTTCCGGAAATTTTCAAAATTATGAGTTTCAAATTTCTTATGAAAAATTGCAATAAATTGCTTTTCAAAAACTTTATTCAAAAAAGTTCAATAATCATAATCCTTTGCACTAGTTAGAAGCTTCTCGAAGTTTCAATGAGGTGTCACTTCAATCTGAAAATATTAGGTCTTTTAGAAATTTCTCGGTCGCTGGGCGGCTTCTACAGAAAACTAAAGCGACATCCGCCCTGCCACAGCCCAGAAGTCGCTTAAATTCAGCCTAAAAGTTGCGGGCAACAGCCGAGCAGTCAACCTTCTTCTTGACTGGATTCATTTTTTCATTTCCCCACTCTCTCATTTTCCTCATCACCTCATCCATCTTCTCCAGCTTATTCGGGTATTCAGGATAATCTGTCTCCAATTTTTGAATTTCTTTTAGAAAATTCAAAATATCATTTCTTTGATTCTCCTGATACTCGTCTTACCTCAATAAAAGATTTGACCTGGTTAAGATGTTGAAGTTGTTCTTATTACAAAAATCACAGTTTATTATGCTATCCTGAAAAAATATCGGTTGGAGGAAGAAAAGCCTTAAAATACTAAAACAATAGTTGAGAAGAATAACATCCATCTGCAGAAATATTCAACTTTCCATTTTCTCAAGGGACTTTAGTTGAAAATTTGAATTCCTTAAAGTCTATCTTCTCCTCTTTATTCCACTCGTATTGGTTTTTTTTTTCATATTCAATTTCAATTTGTTCTGTTTTCACCATATATTGTACTGGTCTATAGCAAGGAGAAAAACCACCAATTAACATTCGAAGAAAAAAATTTATTTTTTTTTCATGCAATACAAATTCTTTACAAAAAATTACAAGCTCAAATTCGACTTTTCGAATCAAATTAGCATTTGAATTGAATCGGAATGATTCTACGTGGCAATCACTCACACAGGGACACTTGCACTGGTTTTCAAGATTATAGAAATCTCAAAAATTCTAGGAAAGGGACCGAGCATGGAAACGGGGACGGAACAAAAAATGATGAGGTTAAATATATAAATATTAGTTAAAAGAACATCTGAACAGATAAATAGATATGAGAGGTAATAGACATATATTCACTTGCGATAGTCTTTTTGAGCACGAATGATGAGCTCACAGAGCACTGGAGCATTCACTTCTTCTGGGTTCGCAGCCATCACGGATTCCACGAAGTCGTGGGGGAAAATATGACAAAGATGAAAGTGTACACGAGCACGAACCTCGGAGAGACTCTCGTTTGCATCCGATCTATAACATTAATGTTGTTATCTCCAATTACCTTATTGCTCAGTCTTACCCAGTATTAACAGGCCCAACGGACAATTCCGAGTGACCCCAAACAGCAGTTGATGGTGCAAACAGATGCGTTTGGGATACTGCAGTTGCCATTTTAGATGGTCGTTGACTTCCAATTACACCATGCTGATGCGGAAGTACTTTATGGTGATGTTGTTGATTGTACATTTCAGGATGAGCTTAATATAAGAATCAGTAAAATTATTCAAATATTTCGAGTTACCATTATTCATTTGTCGATTCACTGGAGTTAGTGGAGACGATCCATGTCTCTGTACTACACTGTGTTGTTGCCAAGGTGCACTATTTGCCTGTTGTAGCTGCATATGCTGACGTGGCATCTGGATAGGGCTCTCCGGAGTTGGAGGCAGTTGGCAGATGTTTTCAGTGAGTGGTTTGACCACATTTAGGGATTGAGTACGGGAAAGGGCGGCGTGTTTGTTTTTGAACATCTCGTATTGCATAGATTTCACTGAAAAGGAGGGAACTATTAATGTTAAAACAGTTTAGTCTTGAAGAAAGTTATTTTCCAAAAACTTGAAACTCTTGAATTTTACCTGCTCCCAAAGATTTCTTCTGCTGATTCTCCTTCATCAATCTCTCCGTTACACTCATATGTTGTCCATTTGCACGTTCCGGATGATAAAACTTGCATTTATTTCCATATGTACATTTTCTTGCATATGGACAAACTAGTGGATTTGGTGACGAAACTGGAACTTTCGACAGGAAACTCTCGATTCTTGGACCATTGCGACCTGATGGATCATCCGGTGGCATAAATCTGAAAAACGTTTTTGTTTTGTTTTTTTTTTCTTGCTCCAAAAGTGAGAAAAGTGCAATCTGTGCGTTCTGTTCAATCGTCATTTGCTCTTCTGTTCGCAGACAACGGAGAGAAAGCAGCACAAAACAGGTCGAATTGTCAATATTTAGAGAAGAGAAAAAACACAAGAAACACCTCAAAACAAGGGATGAGAACACCCATTAAACCTCAAAAAAAAAGTGTTTGTGAATTGGTTTTTGGAGTCTTGTGGTTTGGTGTACGGTATGTGGCTATTATGACAATTAAAAAAAGTTATAAAGCAATCTACCATGCGATTTTGCACGATCATAGTTTAATCAGTTAAAAATGTAATCAATTCATTTTTTGTTTCTCCACAAAAAATATATTTACCGTACTTCCTTTAAGAGAACCTTAAATCGTCAACTTTGAACTAAATGATCTCGATTCTTATGAAAAATATCAACTTGTCAACTGACAAACTGTTTGTGATACTATGATAAACTTTTTTATGTTTACCACTTTTTGATATTTTTCCCAGGAACTAAAAGCTCAAAAAAAACTAAGGAATGGCTGAGGGCTCAAAGTTGACGGGGTGGGTGAGTTTCTATTAGAGGAAAAACGGTAAATCTGATAGACAGATTTTTTTTTATTTTCAAACTTATCTTTTTCTGATTAATCTCATTTTTCTGATTAATCTTATCTTAAGTTTATCTTTTTCTGATTAATCTATCAAAATGAATTGACGAAATTTTTTGACATCGTTTTACACACTTTGCCGTTACACAGTTTTTCGATATTTATCTAGGATTCAAGATAGTAAAATAAAAATGTTTGAGACAGTAAAATAGTTCGCTTCTCTAATGTGCCGCTTTAATAGAGCTTTGGATTTCAACAAAAAAAACAGTAAAACTAACTTGTCCTCAACAAAAGTGAACATAAGGAGTCTCTCCTCAACAATCTTCTTCCACGCTGGATTCTCTCTCGTCAAATCACGATACTCGTCGTTGGAGACAATCACGGCGTCTTTCAGTTCTGCAGTTCGAAGAATATATCTATCGTCGTGACACACTACGCGACGACCGTTTACGTTTCTTAAATAAGCAGTTGGATTACGGTAATCGGGAAAATCAGGATCCTACCTAGATGGGGTATAAATAATATGTCGTTCGATTTCCAATAGAATATGTTGATCGGTGATTGGGCTGTCCGATCGTGGTTGTTCTCTTCTGGAATCAAGTTTTGGAGGATTGATAGGAGTGAATTCGAGTGTTACCTGTATTGTGGAATGAAAATCAGGACTTCAGGATGTCCCCGTTCAAGAAAATAATGGAGACACTCGCGGAGACCGGCACAAGAGAACACTTCTTTGCGGCCGTGTCTGAAAAATGGTTATTGAAAGTTTTAAAACATGGGAAAAGGATTCCAGAAAAAGAGATGCTCGAAGTGGAGAATCAGATAACCGGAAAAATTTGACATCTACTTTTTTGTTAGAATAAGATACAGTATCCCCAACTTCCAAATTTTCAGATGGGTCGTAACTTCTCAAAAAATCATGCAATCAATTTTTATCAAGCAAAATGGGAAAAGAGAGAGCCGCGGCGCCAAAGTATTGGTGACTCGAACGATGATGCCGTAGGGAAAAATTGTGCCTATGTTGACATTATGTTTCTCGTCCCGGCAATCCGCGTCCAACGGGAAAGCAGTCTACTGTCCATCGTCCGGAGCCAGGAGAGAAAGAGAGTGCGCTTGTTTGTTAACCCCCAGGAATATAATTCAATATGAAGAGATTTAGAGAAGCGGAAAACGATCGGGAAAGGCATGCGAAAGTTGGCAAAAATAACAGACTATTTTGGCGCGGAAGCGGGAGGAGCAGCGGCAAGAGAAGCAAGGCGAGAGAGGGAAAACAAGAGAAAAATTGCTTCCGGAAGAAGGCGGAAAGGTGTATGGTCATTCTAAGATGAGGGAACACAGTATCTTTGTGCGAGATCTTTTTTACATGAAAAAGTACAGTAACACTCGAAATTGTAAACCGAGCGTCTTTTAGAATCAATATTTTTAGACCGACTAAATTGGATATGATAGAACTCAACCAGAACTATAAATAATTTTGTTTCGAAAACTGAATCTTGTCTGTGTACAAAGTTATGAGTCTTAAAGCTTTGACAGCGTAGCTCAGTGGTACTTGTTTGATTTTTATCATATGTATGGTACCCACTTACAACATGGCAATATTCGATCCATCAACTACTACTGATCGCAGATTCATATTCGGGGTATACTGTGGATAATATGGTGCCCAGGAACAGGAAGCTGATGATATAGCAATTGCAGATGACATAGGTGGGGCTGATGAGGAAGGAGCAACTGGACGATGATTTGCAGATGTTGACGATGACGATGGTTGCGAAATCGCCATTACACCGTCAGATGACCTGACATTACCACTAGGAAGTCCCATTTTCACAAGTTCTGATAGCACGTCGTCCTAAAATTTAAAAAAATAAATCATGTGCATTAATGGTAGACAAATATATAGAAACCATCGACATACCATTCTAGAATCGACTCCAATCGTATTCAGAACGTGGCTGAGTTGCTCCGTCGAGTATCCCAACTTGGTCGCGAATTCAACAACTTCCGGTGCTGGATATCTGATCATCAAAGTTTTTTGGTCATCTGAAAATGAAAACAGAGTGATGTGAATCTGGAAAAACAGATATTTAGCTTACCATCTATTTTACTGGGATCCGAAGACTCTCGACTCAGTGATGGATGGGAGATGTCGTCGCAGGAACTGGAAGATGAATTGATTTTTTTTTTTCAAATAAAGAGCTATTACTTTTCTCTAGTTAATCTATACCAGAGATCTTAACCCAAAAACAAAAAAAGAAGAATAAGAAGAAAGTGATAAATAACAGAAAAAATATCCGGAAGACCTATGGTGGAATATATTGGTGAAAGGAAGGAATTGAGGAGAGTGAAAAATGCACGTTATCAGTTTCCGGGATCCCGGTTATTTTGAGATACTCTGGGATCACATATATAGGAGAGGAAGAAGAAAAAGAAATTGTGTGTTATTTCACATTTTTCCAAATCGAGTATATTAGAACTAATTTCCGGTGAGAGGAAGTGCACGGAGAGATGTGAGAAAATTCATGATATGTGTATGTAGATGTGGATGGTGGTGGTAGTAGTGATGTGAGAAAAATATCTAGTATGAGGAAGGAGAAAGTCTGATTTGAGTGGTTCTCCGAGACGTTCTCCGATTCTATAGTTGAATTAAGTATCAAAAAAAGTATCAAAAAAAATGTCACAAATCTCTTGTTAGAAAAGTTCAAAGCAACCATAGTAGACGAATTTCAACTGTCAAAATATTGATAATAATATGATAAACATTTTGTCAGTTGGCTACTGTTTGATATCTTTCACGGGAAATGAGATTAATGGGCTCAAACTTGACTGTTAAAGGGGCGTTCTATAAAAGTGTTTACGGTATCTCCGAAATTCCTTAACTCACCTATAACAAGAATCAAAATCCAATGCACTCGAAGATTGAACTGCCACCAAACCGGGTGGTGGTCCTTCTAGAAGTACTTGTCCCGACATGTTGGCTCCTCCCGCCGACGCTGCTCCGCCATTTCCGTAATTCATCATTTTCTGCTGCTGCTGCGAGTGATTATTATATCCATTTGACTGAATCGGTTGTGACATTGATTGAACCGTTGGTTGATGTGGTGTTGACTGATAATAGGGATTGAGTCGAGTGCCAAGTCCTCTCTGATTACTGATATTTCCTCCTCCTCCTGTTGTTCGGCACAAAGGGGCGTGGCCTCGAGGCAGGGAATCCATGTCTGGAAAAGGGTGTTTGCGATTAAGAGGGTTGAGAGGATTAAGTGAGAAGCGACGACAGTAGTCAAAAAGAAGAAAAAGAAGAAACAAACTAATAATAAAAATTATCAGTTTACGGTCATGTCCTGTAAAGAACAGCAGCACAAAAGTTGTGACGAATGAGTTTCCCACACTTCTGGAAAATTGGATTCTCTGAATAAAAATGGACCTTTGCCCTTCTAGATGTGTTCAAAGTTTGTTTCCCCTTAATAGACGGAACTCCACAGTCATCAAACTCGGTCTCATCAAAAAACTATAATCTTCTTAAAGCATGTGTTGACACCTTGTGTTAAAAGAGTTTTTTTCCGTTTTCATAGCAAAATGAGATGAAAATAGAAAAGGACAAGGTACAAAAAGAATAATAGAGGAATCAAGAATACGAGTCTTGGAACAACATGGTTATTTGAAGCCGGTTCGAGATTATGAAGCAATCAAAATCTTTCAGATCTAAGAATTCAATTTTTCAGAAGTTTCTAAAAAATGCACTTTCCAACGGAAGCCCCTGAAAACAGGTTCCTGACACGGGGAAAAAGGAGGAGGAGGAGATTATGAAGAAACTGAAAACGGCTTGAAAAGGGGGATTATTGATAAATAAGGAGCAAGGGGATATCAGTTGAATCCGTGGGCGCGAAAAATGAAGGAGTTGTTTGTTTTTGTTTTGGAAATTAGCAAAGAGATTATAATGTAAAAAATATGGAACAGGACTTAATCTCATTAGCTGACAATTAGCTGAGACTAGTTGAAATATGAGTAAGAGTTCAAGAATCGGAAATTGAGTCACAAGGCAGATTCGATCTGGATTTTGCACGTAGATATGAGGATGGTGGCTCTTTTGAATTCTAAAAGTATTAAAGATTTTGACTAATTTATTCGGAGTATCTATTAATCTGTCTGTTATTTTTCACAAAAGGAAAGTCGGAAAGTTAAAATTTTTACCCACGAATGCCACGAAAATGGAGAAAATAAATACAGAGAATATAAATAATTTTAGGTTACGGTAGTTTTCTGTTTAATAAGTCCAACTTGTTTCGAACCAGAATAACCTTCCTTATTAATAAAACGCTAGAGGCGTCTGTCCGTCCTCGTGTCCGTCTGTGGACTTTTGAAAAAATTGAAAATACATATATATATATATTTACGTGACCCTGAAAATGAAAATTGAAAATACATATATATATATATATATATATATATATTTTTACGTGACCCTTTTATTTAGAAAAAGTGAGAAACGAAGCGACGAACATTTGAAAAAAAATAGATTGAATCGCGCCGAAGGCGCACCAGCTTGCTGGTATAGAATATGAATTAAAACTTCTAGGTGGAAACGGTTTCACTAAACTGCAGACAGATGTTGATAGTTCCTTCAAAAGTGCATGAACAGAATTTTGCTTCGAAGTGTTGCGAAGACTAAAATATGTTCCAACATTTATACTGTACTATAGTCTCTCCGACTCTCATCGAATGGTCTTTTGTACGCATAGCTAACACAAAACCACCCAATCCTCCAGCTTCTTGTTTTTTCTCTTTTCTTTGATCACTTTTCTATTGCGCAATACGACAGCAAAAGAAAACGGACTGGTTATCAACCGAAAAAAAAATACGGAAAGGAAGGAATGAGCAAGAAGAGAACTAACTAAACGGGGTGTGAGAAAAAAATAAACGACAAAAATTGTTCGGAACAGACTAGAGACAACAATTGTAGCAATTCGGTAGTACGGTATTTAGTTTGTGAATATGAAAAGTAGAAATAAATTGACAAGACTCCACTAGGCTCATCGTGTAGCTTCTGAACTGTCACTTACAGAAATTTTTCAGCAATAAAAAATAATTTTCAAAGAATGATGAATTCGCCAATGATGATGACGAAGAAGTAATCGAGAGCAAAATTTGAGGTAGAAGAGAAATAGAGAAAAAAAAATGATAAAATGATAAAAATAATGTGAAAAACGGAATGGACACAAGCAGGAGGCAATCTGTAAACAAGAGAGTGAGACACGCAGTACGTTCCGCTCGCCCTTTTGAATTTTCAGCAACCGGAAGGCCCGGCAGAAGTCATAAGAAGCACTAATTCTGAAACTGAATCTTCTTGACCTTTTCAATTAAAAAACTGGAGGAGAGAAAGAAGAACTGAAATTCAACACCTAGAGAGGAAAAGAGAAAAACAGCCAATCTTTGACTCATGATTCATGTTTTGTGGTAACATTCAGCTTGCGATTAAAAATTCTATGTATGAGCCTGATTACTTTTGAGAATATAAAGAGCTCTAAGCTGTTGGCGGCTGATGAAATTTGAATTTGATGAATTTTGGAACATCACAGAACTATCCTAGTTTTGATGAGTTCTAGAGATGCCTCTTTTTCTTGTTCCCACCTGTTACCGTACTTACTCTAATATGTCCACTTTGAGCTCAATTATCTCGATTTCTATGAGAGATATAAAAAATCTGTGAACTGATAAAACAATGACGATAGTATGATAAAAATTTTTTTGGACCGATATCTTTCAAAAGAACCGAGATAATTGAGCTCAAAGTACATATCTAAGGTGGGCTTCTATTCGAGCAAACACGGTATATGAGAATCAAACTCCATTCTTACCCATCATAAAAATTTATAGCCTCTATATTAGTTTGTGATATTTACCGTAAAACCTCTAATAGAACGACACCCGGATCGTCCACTTTGAGCCTATATATCTCATTTTCTGTGAAAGATGTCGTTCTATTAGAGGTTTTACGGTATTACCGGCAACTTGATATGCTCACACTATCAATTTTTAGGGATTAATTTTGTTGTGTAGCCACTATAAAAACACTAGAAACGACATTTTCTCTGGAATATAAATCACTGCAAATCACAAAACGAATGGTGGTTTTTCTGATCCTCCCTTCTCCAAATAATCATTCCAGGAAGTGTTTCTCTTCTGCTATCTCTATCCTTATCTTATTCTTTTTTTCTCTATCAGTTCAGAAAGGAGTCAGACAACCATCAGAGGACCGGAGAAGAGAGAAAGAGAAATGACAGTTCCGGCTTCATCTCACGCCATTCGTCTTTTTCTCTCTTTTCTCTTGAATTCCTATTATCTCTTTTGGTTCTTGATTTTGATTATTGAGAATGCTCTTTTCCGAAAAGGGGGATACACCCGGAGGGAGAGAATTCGGTGATAATTTTTTGATAGAAGAAGAGGTCATGCGGTTTTTGAGGGAAAAAATAGTGAAAATGACGAGAAGAATCTTAAAAACAGTTGGACAGTTCTGCAGGCAAAAAAAAAGAAACATTGATAGAAAAATCGGCAAAACGGAGATATAGGAAGAAAAGAGAGGTACTGTAGGCACGGATAAAAAATAAAAAAAATCAACAAACTGAAATTTTGTATTTTTTTTTGGATATCAGATTTTTCGATACTTTCCGTCTCAAAAACAATCTAGCGTTCCGTTACTTGTCTGTCTGTCGGTGTGGCTGTTTGTCCAGCTCAAAATGTAATTCAAAATTACAGGGTGATGCCTAATTACGCGGACTAAAGTTTGTAAAATTGGAGTGAAGCGTTGTACTGGGCTCACATTTGGAGTGCGAAAAATCAAATAATTCATCAGTAAACCGGCTAATCGCTTGTCAAAGTTGCTTCATCTCATGGAAGCCACGACGACGTGCAAGAAACATTCATCTTTGGACAATCACAACAATAACTAGACTCGAGGAATCGCTTTGAAAATTTCAGTAGCTTTGAAACAAGCATAAAATTATATTTCCACCAATTTTCGCGCGTTCAAGATACTTATGTTAATTGTGCTCCACCCTGTATATGTTGTCGATTCATACAAAAGTTGAAAATACTGTCTAGTACTCTCCATGAGTCAGTAGAAAACCGGAAAACCATCAAAGATTGTGAAATAAATGTGTAGCTTGATCATTAGGCCTGACGATTTCTGTACATTTTGAAATATTGACCAATGAAAAAGTTGATAATGGAGGGAACGAAAAAGGGGTCGTTACATCAGCTTTGAGAGTCTGGAATTGGTATCAAACTAATTTCGTCCAACCAAACAGCTCGTTAACAAAGAAATTTTGATTTTGTAATTGGAAAAATAATTTTTCTGATATCCCGATTTTCAAATGTTCTTTTTTTAACTCTTATTGTCAGTCAGGAAAGAAAAGTTACCGTAAACTCTCTAATAGAACGCCACCCAAACTGTCAATTTCGGGCCCATGTATCCTGTTTTCTAGGAGAGGTAGCAAAAAGTGGTTCACTGATAAAATGTCGCTGATATTATGATAAACAATCTGTCAGTTGACCGCTTTTTGATATCTTCAAAAGGAATGGAGATATATGAGTTCAAAGTTGATGGCTTGGGTGGCGGTCTATTAGTGTTTATGATAAATAAGAGTATGAAAGGAGGGGAACAGGAAATATCTGGAGTTTTATTGGAGGCAAGCTGGTGCGCCTTCGGCGCGACTTAATCTCGTATTTTACTGGCTCGTCGTTTCACTCCTAATTTTTTTCTTAAAGGGTCACGTAAATCTATATTTATTTTCAAGGTTTTCAAAAGTCGACAGAGTGACATCGGGACGGACAGACGCCTCTAGCGTTTTATATATAAGGAAGATAGGGTATACATTCTGTTGTAGCAGTGTACAATACTCAGTGTTTGCTCTGGTCCAGCTAACGTAATCGGGCGGCGGCGTAGCTCAGTTGGTATCAGCGCAGTACCTTCAATACTCGTCCCACAAGTTCAACTCCTCTAGAGCCTTATATAAACCCATTTTTGAGACCCCTTTAAAAGCGTGCTTTTTTCAGAATCGTAGTACAGTAATCCCCTCAGAGGGTATCTGACCTCCAAATTTAGTAAAAAAGGGATATCCATTTTGGGAAGCGAAAAGAAAACTAAAATAGCAGTTCCTGCTCAAAAAGTGCAAAATAAAGTGAGCATTGCCTCCTTCTTCTTTCTTTTTTTTTTCTTGAGCCAAAAAATGGAAAAGAAAAGAAAGAACGCATGTAGAAAACATAATTGCATTGGTATTTCACTTTTTGGAGAAGACAAAAAAAATAGAAAACCGAATCAAACACAAAATGAACTAATAAACTGAATTTGATTGTGAAAAAATTCAGCTCTTCTGTTTTTTTTTCAAAGCGAAGAGATCCAAAAACCTCTACTGAAATATTCATAGGGTTTCTTCTTCGGGATCATCTCTCCATCGGAGAATCCTGAATTCTCGATTTCATGGCTATATGTAAAAAGTAATAAAAAAGTAAAAGAAAAAAAGAAGAAGAAGAAGAAGAAGAAGAAGCTCTAAAACATCTGCACACATTTTCCTCTTCTTTTCATCGGAATCAGATAAGATGTTGAAGGAGAAAAAAGAAGGAAAAGGAGGAGGAAAATGAGAAAAAGAAGAAGAAGAAGAAGGTGAGGGTGGGAAATGAAATTAGAAGCTTCTGAAGCAGTGTGTGGCCAGTTGAGAAAAGAAGAGCACATACGCATGCACATAACAAGTAGTAAAAGAGGTTGGGACACAAAAAAGAAGAAGATGAAAAAGAGAAGAAGAAGAATAAAAAAGAAGGAAAAACGAAAGAAGGATCGATGTTGTATAGCTGAGAAAAAAAAGGAGAAGCCGGAGGCATGAAAACATGGCTATATATATATATATATATATATATATATATATATATATATAGCAAGAAAAAAGTATATATATAGAAATTTATATATGGAAATGATGTTAGTTCTGGAGATCCCTAGATTTCTTATGTTGAGCAATTTTAGAAAGTTTTGTAGTAGAAAAATCCTACACGTCTTCTTTTCATATACATAAGCATTGTCTAATCTGCTACAAATCTTTGGGATCCAGACAAAAAAAGGTTGAAGAGACGGGCTTCGAAAGACAGCAACCGAATACAAAATAAGGGTCAGAATTAAATTGTTCGAGTAAGAGAAAATAGAAAAAAAATTGGGATTTTTCAAATTCATGTCTAGACAAAATAATTTATTACGACCTTTATTTGAACTGGCTAGACACTAAAAGTTGAAATATTTTCTTGAAACCCTTCACAAATCCCCTCGCGACCAGATCGAAATATCAGTTCATAATTCAACAACTATCAAACTGAACTTCTTGTTCCAGACACCCATTTTTTAATTTCTAAGAACTGAAATCCCAATTCTCATTCTGATTAATAACACACAGACAGCTAAACTAGTTTCTGATATGAAGCGAACAAATCAAATGGATTTATAGGGAGCTAGAGCCTACAAATAGATTCATAATGACGTGCGATTTCAGGATAAGTTTATGAATCAAACCAAACAAAGAAAAATCCGATTTGTCAGCTTTGATGAAACCACATTCCAGGATTGATCATCCTTGGATAGGAATAGAAAATATTAGGGAGATATTTTTGGAAAAAGTTAAAAAGTTAATTTTCAGTCGATAAGAAGAATGAAGAGACAAATTGATGGAAATGTATGTGTTAGACAATTTGAATCTCCAATCTCCAAAAATCTTGAAGCAGGGATGTTTCGAAATTCTGAAGTCCGGAAATTCTGAAATTTCAAAAGTCTAAAAATCTGAAACGCTGAGATTCTGAAATTCGAAGATTCTGATATTCGAAAAGTCTGAAAATCTCAAAATGTGAAACTGAGATTTTCAGATTCTGAAGTTTTGAAAATACATAAGTTTTTTTTCAGAAATCTTCAAAAACCCATCTAGGTACTGATCACTGAATCTTGAACTGATTCATTTTATGATATTGATGTTGTTCACATCTTCTTCAGATGTGTTGCAAATATTATTTTCTGGCTGATTTCCAATCAAAACTTCCATTCGGTTTTCCATAGATTCCGATTGTCCGTCAACAGTCCGTTGACGGTCCGTCGGTCCTTCATTCGCCAGCTTGCGCCTCTTCCGTTGTCATTTAGAAGCTTTTCGGCAGTGCCCTGCTACCGGTGTGCAGTCAAATTTTTTGAAAATTGATATTCCGTTATCAAACGTTCAAATCCGGCTTCTAATGCCTTCTCCCTATCATAAACAATACATCCAAAAATGCTCTGTGCTCTTGAATTGAATATCTTGAATGAACTCGTAAATCCTCGATTATAATCTCTCTCCTCCTCCTCCCCCACACACATTTAATATCTTATTCAGATTGGAAAATACAAAACAGATTAATTTCTTTTCTCCTCCCTTCTTCTTATTTTTTTTTCTCATTCGTGAGTTAGTTTTCTTGAACAACAATCCGGAGAGTAAGGGATTGTGGGGGAATCAAATTCTGTGGATTTCAGTTATTTTCCGATTAGATTTCCAATATTCGTCTTTTATCACCTATGATCCGATTAGTTCGGTTTCATCTGATCCTGATCCATCACATTGACGTCAATTGAACCGAAATATCAGTGAATTGAAAAAGGATTGGCATTTTAAGAAGAATATGAAAACATTCAGAAATAGCTTATGCACTGAACCGCTAAAGATTGACCCGAATTGATAATGTTTTCCTAACATTTCACAGGTTTTCATCTACTGTGGTATGCGCTTGCGCTCTAACATTAGTTTGAACCCTGTTGCCTGATTATTCAAAATCAAGAATATTTTGATTTCTGAAGAAGTGTACAAAAACGGACCTGGGCAACATTCCTATTTAGGTCCAAATGGATGATTTAGGGTCAATGTCCATGTTGGCAACCACTAATCATCCGAAAAGGCGAGTGAGAGTGAGGGAAGGAGATTAATAGCCTTCGAGTGTCGTGCACTCAGCTGTCGCTAAAATCAAAACTTTTTATTCACCGGGTCAGGATTCTATTTGAAAAACGGGGGGAACAAGGCACACTGATAAACAGCAAGTAAACAAGAATTATGCGTGCAAAAAACTAAAAATTCTATTCGACAAGTACAAGAACAATTTGAAAAAGAACAGCTAATCGAAAACGAAATATGATTAAATGGAACTCTCAATAGAATTATAAGGTCTTCTGTGTCGACGATACTTTTCCGTTTGCATTTCATACAATCGAGATACTGTTCTACTGTAGGCGAATGCTTCCTCGTCGCCACTGAATACGTTCGCGCTCATTCCTTCCTGAAAATAATCGGTATTTGTGATTCTATTGTTTTAGTACTTACATGATCAGATTTGATACCCAGGTCATCCATAAGAATTCGTTTTGAATCACTAAGAGCATCATGAGAAACATTGTGACTTTCGAATTGGAAAAGTTCATCTAATGGAGCTGCGGCACCGATCACAACCCGAACCTTCTGGTCGTAGAATGTATCGATCATTGTGATAAATCTACGCATTGCATTCCACATATCCTGATTCATGACGGGTACATTTCGAACAATTACTGTGTGGAATACTCGAGCGTAGACCAGATAATCAGCTGCTCCTTTTGCTGTCATACACAATTCTTTGAAGTCAATATCAGCCACACCTCCACAACACTTTTCAACGACTACTCGACGTCCCAGGATTTCCAGTGTTTTGGAGCGTACATCTGAGATTAAAATTTTTAATTAGAACAGTACATTCAGATTTCACTAACTATCAGTTTCATTGGCAGCTGATTGTTTGAATACAATATCACACTGATTGTTGGCATCGTCTCCATGAAAATAGATCGGATTACCGTCTCCAGAAGCACTTCGTCGATAATCCATTCCGGAATCTAGAGCAAGAGAAGCACATTTATCCTGTCAACTGGGCAGTTTTAACTAAAATTTTTCCTGTTTGGACATACTTCTAAAATAGTGATGAATGGAACGAATTGATGTCTCTGGAGACCATTTTTATATAATTCTGAAGGTGCTCGATTCGAAGTGGCAACCATGACAAGTCCTCTTTCAAATAACATAGAGAAAAACCTTTTTAGAATCATTGCATCGGCAATGTCAGTGACCTGAAAAATCCAATTGACATGAGGAAGAATAGTTTTCAGAGAGACGAACCGGAACTCATCGAAGCACAGTAAATTTGTTGTTTCCATGATTTCATCGACAATAACAGGAACTGGATCAAATTTTCCCCGAGCTTCGTTGCTTTGCATTTTTAGTTCATGCATTCCTAAATAATATTGACATGAAAAATTCAAAAGATTTTCTCACTTTTATGAACATTCTGCATGAAATCATTAAAATGCACTCTCCTCTTTTTTGTAATTGGACAGTTTTCAAAGAACAAATCCATGAGCATAGTTTTTCCACAGCCTACAGATCCGTACAGGTATATTCCACGCGGTGAGTTGGTCGTTGATGCATCCTGTTGAGATGAAAACATTTATTTTATTTATTTTGAGTATGAAAATAGGTCATATGATAAGGAACCGTCTACTGAATGAGTCATTCGCCTAATTTAGTTTTTTGATTATTAAATATGACTGAAATACTAACTTCCGTTTTTGATTTTTGAAACATTTTCCAAAATCCGGTGCTCGATTTTTCAGATGATTTGGACACATTAGATGGTTGATAAGTTTCAATTTCCTTCCTCAAACGGTCGAAATCCACAATCATCTTGCGCTAAAACTTGTTGATTGGACAAATTTATCAAGAAAAATATACCTGGTAATCATCCTCTTTCAGAGCTCCTTCGTTAACTTTTTTCGAGTATACATCGCTCAAAGTGACTAGAAATCTCTGAATTTGATGAGTCTGTGTTCTGCGTCGAAGTGGAGAGAGCATTTTCTAGCTGGAATAATCAGTTTTGGCAACAATTTTTGCCGCAGTTTGCTGTGCTTGAACTAATTCTACTGATAAGAAACCATCGAGGTTGAATGACGGGCAGAACAAACTTTTTTTAGATAACAAACTTCGGAGAACGGTCAAAATCATGAAAGACCGACCGTCTTCTCTGTGTCTTCAGTCTCTAACACGTAGCGATGGAGCGTAGAGAGAAGTTTCAAATTGGCGCGAGGAGACCCCGCAAATTACGGGGAAGGAAAAAACCGGGGAAAAAAATCGGGGAAAAGTGGGCGGGGTCGCGGGCGGAGCCTAAAATGCAACCCTGGCACGGTTTTGCCGCACGGTTTTTCTGCACATTTGGACACGGTTATGAGGGGGCGGAGCCTAAATTGTAACCCTGGCACGGTTTTGCCGCACGGTTTTTCTCGACTCCGCCCACTTTCCCCGGTTTTTTCTCCGATTTTTTTTCCCGGAATTTGCGGGGTCTCTGGCGCGAGGTTCAAATGATGGTTCAAATGATATTAGTCAAAAGAGTATACTGCTTTGTTCTGGACTTCCAAAGTTTTTTTATTTAACAAGAGTGACGAAGTACATCGAAATTATACAGAAAACATTTTGAAAAGTTTGCAAAAATAGATCAAACGTCGAGAGAAGCGGAGAAGGATCGCGTCTTTGCCCAGTCCTTCGGATGACAAACTTCTGAACCAAGTGCTTCTGCGGATAGTGAAATTCTCATTCGGGTCAATAGTTGTATTTTTTGGACAGTAACGATTTCTTTGTAGTTTTTTTCGTTGTTTCTTTTATCCCTGTAAGATATGATGACCTCATTATTTTGAAAAGCATGACGTGGCATAGGACTCATCAGTTTCAAAACAACAAAATCGTGACGTCATCTTGCAACAATGGTGATCAAATATGAATCAGATCAGAAGACGTTACCTGAAGAATCTCCAACACGCCACGACAATCATCATCATCCATATCTGGAGAACAATGACGATGGCAAATGAGCCAGCCATTAACCAAGCAGCGTAATCTAAAATTTCATTGGGTTTTTAAAATGTATTAGTGTCAGGTTACAGTATTCACTCACTGAAATATGCAGTTTGATCTCTTGGATTGACTGGGATACCATATGATCCAAGCACTGTAGTTCCCACTTTCTTGTCACCAAACAAGCCAATATACATGAATGAAACAAAGAAAACGAGACCGATGGCAAGACCGGCACCTTGTAGAAGAAGGTACGGAACCAGAAGTTCAGCTCTTTGAGCCAATATTGCCCAAAGCACTGATCCGGCAATGAACACTCCAGCCAAGAATCTTATAGCAGCGCCAGTAACATCAGCCTGGAATCAAGAACTTTGCTTCGATGAAAAACCTCAAGTTGCGAAACCTTTTCCACCATCTCAGATGCCAAAATTGAGACAATCAGATGCCACAGTTCAAAAACTACTGTGACGCATAACATGCCAGCAACTATTTTCATTCCGGTCTGCAATTGAGAAAATTACTTCCTGTTATTCAAGTTGTTTTTTACCAAAGAGTGTGCATGTCCACAACAACATAAATATCTGTAATGATTCGGATCGAAACTTTCTCTTGTTCTATCCTCATCGTATTCCCAGTCACTGATTATGCATGTTGTGGCTAAACCAAACAAAACTTTTGAAAAAAAAAATCTCTAAAGCTTACCTTCCGATTGCAATGAGTGTCTGTTATGTCTCGAACCACTTCCATCTCTTCTTATAGACCTCATATTGTTTAAGATAAAAATATTTTTTATCTTTTCTTAAAATATATATTTCTCTATATTTTTTCTTTAAAACACCATCACTCTGTAGTACCCTGAAATTGAAATTTGAGGAAAATGGAAAAAAAATCTTGACTGAAAAGAAGTAACGAGTGAAAAGGAAAAAGCACAACTGAAAACTGAAAACTGATCTCAATGAGCAAGTCATTCCGTCATAGAGATATTTGAAAAAAGCGAAGAAATGAGCTCATAGTTAGAGCCAAGTAGAAGAAAAATTTGACATAGAATGGAGAATTCTGATGAAAAGGTGGCAAATGAGGTGCTCACAAGGAAGGGCTTTCACAGCTTCGCGGGGTGATTAGCTCAATCAGTAGAAAAGCAATCTGACGAGGGAGAGAAAGGAGTCGGAGACGAAAACTATGATGACATTCTTCATGTAATTTGAATAGGATTCGTGAAAAAGGTTGTGAAAAACAACACATGAAGGGGAACTTCTTTGAAATTTGACAAAACCGGTTAGTGCTTTTATGGGGTTATTCACCAAAATGTAGAAAAAATCTCTCCGAAATTTCAGGTAGAATGTTCATTCTCCGCGATTTCGCAGAATTTTCTCCATTTCTCCGACATTTTCTACATGTTGGTGAATAACCCCATTAACATGCAATAATGAGGGGGTGAAATAGAAATATGTACAGAAATTGATTTAAAAATAAGATTGATTTGAACTACATTGTGACTGCATTCACTTTCTTCTTATAGTTCTTTTTTCCACGGTGTCCATAACTTTTGCCGCATGCTCCACAAGTATCTACATAATTGCAACAGATCCAGAACAACGGAATGCCACAAGTGAGAGGACAGCAGCAGAAGGCAAGGCACATCAAGATTTTCTGAAAAGAAAATAAGGGTGAATAGTCAAAGCTGATAATTAAAACAAAAAATGCACTTTTAAGCAATGTTTACTTTTCTGAGTTTATCCTGTTGTCTCGTGATAATTCCCTTTCGACATTTCGGACAGACGAGTGCGTTTCCGTTTCCTCCCGAAATCCCGCCCACCTGGGGAGACTGGTTGATACATAGAGTTACGGCTGAAAATTTAAACTTATATTAGTAAATTCATGAAGCGGTTCGAACCAGGAGACGTTTGCTGTTGTGGTGCTTGAACAAACTGTGGTGGACTCAATTGAACTGGCGCTAGCATCTGAGCCATTTGAGCTACTGGAGCCGCAATCACAGGTTGTTGTATTGTCGGCATGCACATCATCTGAGGCTGATGAGTTATCATCGGAGCCATTTGGGGCATCATATATTGAGGAGACATCATCGGCATCGATATAGGGACCACTTGAGGCTGAGGAGGAATTGCTGTCGGATACAATGAAGATTGGTATGACGGTGGCGGGGAAATTGATGAGTATGCAGCGGTTTGGGGTGGCTGAGGAGCACTGGAACAATTGGAAACATTTCAATAGCTTTTTGATTTATATTCTCACATCGGTCTGACTCTTTGTCTCACAACTTCGATTCTTGGCGGTGAAATATATCTGACAGTCTCGGGACCCAAGAACTGGACTTTTCCATCATTTCGCGGTGTTAGTGGCGCTTCTTCGTATTCCTGTGCTAAAAGTAAACGAGTTCCAGTTGGTTTCGCTTTTTCTGAAACTTACGAAGACATTCTACTGGATTAATCGTCATTTTGCGGTTTCCGTTGTAAATTTAGCTATCACAACTTATACACAAATGTTTTCGAGTGTGCAATTTTTCGTATCTGTGTTTGCGGCGGAGGCTCGTCGAAAGTACACACCGTAATACGACATTAAAGGAGCATATTGTATCATCTAAACTGGTTTCGCCGCGCAACAAAAATACGGTACCGGACTTTCACTGTTGAACACTTTCTGGGAATCTTCCCCTAATTTTTCACAAGGAATGTTTAGGGCGAGCCGGAACCAAGGTGAATGATAAATAAGATTTCATGATTTGCTTTTTTTTGCAGATGCAAATGACCCGACTTACAACCGCAGTTTTTATATTCGACATCTGAACGACGCGACAGATGCAAATCTAGAAATATCCCATCAAAGTTCATTCCGCCCTAATTTTACTGTATTTCCTCTTTTGGATGAAACTACGAAAAATGCAGCAAGTGTTCTAGTAAAACTTATACGCGGCAATGAAAAAGAATTTTTGGATCATATAACAGCTCCCAGTCTTGTTGCATTAGTATCAGTAAATACCGATATTGTCAGAAAAATTGCCGTTGTAAATTTAGCTATCAAATGGTTGGTTTGATTTGCAGAGTTTTCGAATATTCAAGTTCATTTCAGGCTCCTCTGTCATGAAATCGACACAAGTACACTTCACTACCTACTACAGTCTATCACTTTTTCGTCGTTCCCATTTCGAAAAGTTGAAAGGATTCGGTTGGCTATTTACATTTATATGACATCGACGGAGCTCATCAACAATTATGATATTCACCTTGAGAGGTACTGCAATATTTACATTCGAAGAAAGTCGGGCGTTCCTGGTGATCCTACGATCTTTGATGAGATCGATCAACTGAGATTTTGTCAATCAGTAAATCAAATCACTGACAACTATTACAATCCGAGTTGTCCGAAGAGATGGGATATTGAGTGCCCGAAATTGCAAAAAGCGTAAGACATCGGCTGGTACTTTTGGTATTCAACATAATTCCAGCCTGAGCTGTTCACTTTCTCGGTTGATTAATCAACATGATCTCAAAAATCCGTTCTATTCGTGGGGTTTCAAAACGAAAGGAAGTTCGTTCGAGCCACGAGAACCGCTCAAGCATATTCCTCAGTGAGTTTCCAGATATATCCATTTCTAGTAATTATTATGGTTCCCAGAATCGAACCTTGCATTTCCCCCAATGATCCAGAATTTCTTTTCAAAATGGACCTAATTGAAATCAGAGAAGTAATAGAAGAAGAAGATAAAAAGTAGGGTTGTCAGCTCCCTGAATGCTGACGATCAGTTTTTTAGGTCAAGCGGTTTCGGTTTATTGCCGAAAAACTACAAATCATCTCTAGGAAGCCATCAAATGCCTATCAAAAAGTTTGTATTATACGGAATCATAACACATGACACATTAAATGTTCTAGAGTTGGATCAGTTGTAACTACAACATCTAGTGGATACGGTACCAATAAAAGCAGCAGCTCGTCGCAACCGAGATTTGGTAAGATTTTTGAGTTTGTGAAATGAGATGTTTTTTCCAGATATTGTGACAGAATTCCAAGAGAATTGTTCGATCGTTGGTCCCAAAGTGAATAATAGACAAGAAGCCGCAACAGCTCTAAAAACAAAACATGAACTAATGGGGTTAGTTCTCGCTGTTTACTCATTCTGAAAAATCTTGCAGCCCTGAATGTTATCGTCAGCAACAGAAACCAAAATGGAATTGGCACAATCAGAACAAACAGGATAAAAATAGAAGAATGGAACATCCAACGTCGAGTTATTTATCTTGTGCGAAAATGCCAGTTACCCATCGCCCCGCAGCTGCTTCAAGGGTTCCGTTTGCTCAGCAACAAAGTGTTGGGAACAGCAAAAATCAGAATTCACTTCATAGCTCCACCCATCATCCGAAAAAGTGAAAATTAAGCGCTCTTCCTGTGTGTATCATTGGATTTTCAGATATTTCACCAACACCTCCGAACCACGGAAGCAAGTTTCCTCACATAAAAAACCTTCAGAACCGAAATTGGTCAAACCAAAGCCATCGATCAAGTATAATGAGTTTATCGCAAAGTAAATAGAACTTATTGAGTTTCGTGCTAAAACAGATCATTGTTTTTTTCAGGCCAAAGCCAAAGTTTTCGTTTGATCCTGTCACCAATGTCCTCCAGAAAAACTTCTAAACGACTCCAAATTCTTTGCATACTTTTCTCACCAAGTCTTCATGTAAATTCTGATTGTCTACACTCTTGCTATAGTTTTCTTTATTTTCCAAAATCGTTGTTATTTACCTTTAAATCTTTATTGTATTTGTTATAAAATTTTGTTATTTTTTAAACTAATATCAATTTTTTGCAATGGATTCGATGAACCTAGCGAGCTTGACATCGTTTGGCGACAAACCTCCGCAGTCATGAGTAGAAAGGGTGATATCGACCTGAAAAAAGCAAATATGATTAAGTCTTAAAAATTGGTTTAAAAACCTTGTTGTACACATTGAACCACTCTGGATGATGGTCCATTTTCTCAGCTTTCAGACCAACGCGAGTCATAAATCCGAAAGCCTCGTTGAAATCTTTGAACATGAATGTTTTTTGAATTGCATCGCGTCCTTCAACCAGCTTCCATCCTGCCGATTTCAGTCCGGAAAGCTGCTCAGTTCGCTCGGATTCGGTGAGAAGAGGCTGAAAATAGGCGTTTTGGTACCTTATAAATCAGTTTAATATTCCCTGAATGTTATACAACTATAACTGAAAAACTATGCATTTTCAAAAAGCACATATTTTGGAACTCAACTCCGAGCTGGTGATTGATTCAAATTTGCAACCAACAAGTATGTGAATACCCAGGTCTTCTATAAAATATTTAAAAATATATACAAAAAGTTATTTGTCCACTCAAAAGGTATAATATACTCACCATTTTCTTTCTGGCAGACACGGCGATTGTGGACGAGAATAAACGATGTGAGGTGGATGGAAGCGATGAGGAGAGAGAAGAGGTTGAGAGAAAACGGACGGATGTCTGAAGACGATGAAGGAGGAGAGAGAATGAAGTACGCATTTGGAGAGAATTGGTGATATCGGTGTGCGCAGTGATCTGTAAGATGTGTTTGTAAACAAGATCAAGGTCAAAGGTTTTTATTTTATCGATGTCATTTGGCTGATCGAACTTCAATAGGAGGACAGCGAACATTTATGTTTTGCATAGAAAAAAATAGAAAAAAGTAATGAAAATTGTAAAAAAATCATGTTTTTAAATAACAATTTAAATTGAAATTTGTGCAAAGACTGCTACGCACTATTGCACCACACCTCAAAGATGATTTCTAATGTTAAAGAATAGAAGCAGAGACAAAACAAGAGAATTTTCTGCAGAAACTATCGCCAGAGAAAACAAAATATAATTGGGAGAACGACACAGAAACGGGAAAATTGATGAAAAATTGACAAAAATAATAATAATATAATAATAATATATTTATTTGCAATGCATGGGGAAATCAATAGATATTTGGCAAGAAATGGGACATGAACAAATAAAAAAGTAAAATGACCAGACGGACCGACTAGAGTCCTGTAGGTCAAGTGGGAGGGATCAGAATATCATAAGGAATCGCCCCTACTCGCTTAGCAAACGCCACCGGACTGAGCTTAGAATTTATCACCTTACATACACGGTTCCACATAGACAGGTTTCTGTGAAGGAAGCAGTCAAAGTATTGACCGTTGATTTTGAACAAATACGGGGCTCTGTTAGAATGGCTGGGAAGAATGTAGGACGACATAGAGGGAAAATGGTATGAGCTTATAACAATTTTGTGGTAGGTACGAAGAACTAGAAGGGTGCGGCGATGAAGGGTGGTTAGCATAGAGAACTGGGATAGGCGATCGGTGTATGAATTGAAGGGCATATTACATCTCTGAAAGACTTTTCTGGTGAAAAAACGAAGGGGAGATTCTAGTTTATTGGCAAGATTTCAAAAACGAAAAATAAAAGAGACCGTACGAATCCTGGAGACACCCAAAAGCGGGAGACGCGAAAGCGGGAGACACAAAAGCGGGA